CTCACCAAAATTTCCTTGGGAGGCAAAACCCTCCCCTGTCAGACTCTAATCTGTTTGTGGCCTGTTGCTATTTTATACTGGCTTCTCCTTTCTCTCTTAATACCATGGCAATGTTAAACATGAGCTAATACTACATAAACTGGTGATTTGTTTTTTAACGGGTAGAAAGAGAAAAGAAAGCGGGCTAGAGATTTTAACACCAATGTGGGTATTAGCGTGCCACATTTTGAAATTAACAGGAGAAAAAGGTTGCTTGGTTACCTGAAACACAAGGCATAAGAAGTTTCTAGGTAACAGCTTAGGCATTTCAGGACCTGAAAGTAAAATCTATTGTCTATAGATACATGTTATTTCAAAAAAAAAAAAAAAAAAAAGCAGGGCTATATATATTGGACTCAGAAGTTGGAAACTTCCATAAACAACATAGATGACTTCTATTAAATTTAATATTGGGCTCAGGTGAAGAGGGAGAAAGGACTTTTTTTTTTTTGAAAAAGGACTTTTTAAGTGAGTAATAAAATACTGAGAATTTGCTGTGGGAGAGTAAAAACACAGGGCTTTGAAATAGGACAATTTGCATTTGAATCTTAACTCCATCTGCTTTACTTTCTTATCTTGGATAGACAATTAATCCCTCTGAGCCCAGAATAAAAAAAAAGAAAGGAATATATGTAAGAGTTCATTTCCTTACATTACTTGAGGAAGGAGGCAGTTTTTAAACATCTGTATTTCTAGTACTGGGAAATAATATAAATGTCTATAAATGAGTTTTAAGTGAAAAATATCAAGATTCCTTCTTCTTTAAGAGTTATACAAATCATTTTACATTTTTAAGATTTCTTGCTTTTCCAGTAACTTTTAGCTCTACACCTAAAATTATTTACAGTGTTCATGAATGGCTTGGGACTGACCAGGAATGGTAACAAATGGCTTTAATTTATCTTTGGGTTTTTATTTTCCAAAAGTCAAAAACATGGCACTTGAAAAATGAGGGGTTTTTTTGTTTGCTTTTTCCTGGCCTTGCCTTGCAGCTCACAGGATCTTAATTCCTTAACCAGGGACTGAATCCATGCTCTGGGCAGTGAAAGGGGAGAATTCTAACCACTGGACCTCCAGGGAATTCCTCTTGAAAAATGAGGTTTAATACAAAAAGATTTAGTCCTGTCCTGAACCACAATTCTTACATCTAATAGTAATCTTAATAATGATTATACTATTCAGGTGTCAAGGGAGAAGTCTATCATAGCACCACAACAGTCCTCCACCTGGAAGTAGCAATTTCTTGCTTTAAAATCAAAAGATATGAGCTAAAATGATGGGGAAATCCTGGTACCACGACGCTGACCTCTGATTAACGGGCAGAGTGTAAACCAAGGGATGGCAGTTCATCTCATTGCTTTTACAGAGACGAAAAGCTATAAAAAACTAAACATTATCTTTATAAGCCTTTCACTTTATTTCTATAACGACCTAAAGCTTTGTATACTCAATGACATTTAAAATTATCCTATCAAAGGGGAGTATTGTATCAGCATCCCATTGTTCACACATTACTAATAGGTGACGTGCATTTTTTCCCCTTCCCCTCATAGCTATCCTCCCGTCTCTCTAGCAAATACACAGTTTTCAACTCTTTCCTCTTTTAACTCAAGTTCAGACATCTAATCAGATGGTGCAGGGTTGTTTCCAGTAACTGGGAGAAACTGTCATAAAAAACATGCTTATACAAATCCTGCAGCACATCACCTTACTGAAGGTGAGAGAGAAACACGAAAATATTTTCTGCCACTTACCAACACCATACAATTTTTGCTTCCCATGAATGAAACAAAGTTTGAGGAGTTTAGATATCAAACTCTTTTTTTTTTCTTCTTGAATCTAACATTTGATATCATAGCCCATAGACAATGGATATTTGCTAGATGTGTCTAGTTTCTGATGATTCACATGCCAAACAAATGGGAGAAGATGCTTTAATTTCCCCAATACTCAGAATATTACTTCATTCTAAAAGAATTGTTACTTATAAACAGCACTTTCTCCTCCTACATTTTATGTTCTGCTGAACATTTCTTTATGTACCTCATTGGGTTACACAATCTGTGGAATGAGACAGACAAGCGAAACAATGCTCAATATTTTAACTAAATGTAATATTCAGGGTGATGGAAAAGGAATCTTTACACAAAGACACATCTAGTGTCAAAGTAAACTTCCTATACAAATCTTAACAAAGGACAAATTTAATTTACAAGTGATTAGCTTGAATAAAACATTTAAAATTTTAAATAAATTATGCTACTTTAATCATCTTTTATCAATGGATTTAAATCCTTATAATATTGGTCAAGTTTTGATATGCAGAGACAACAAAGTATACACAGGTGATTTATACTCTTCAGGACACTCTCAATCTTGGTTTGGAGTTTGAAAGCTAGGCTTTGTAAAATGCCTAATGTAATCTAGAATTCTAATATAATCTGAAATTCATGATACTCCAGGCCAGGCAAGTTGACTTCCTAGATAACATGTTCAGACCTTGTCTTAACAAGCAGTTTCTTAGTCTCTCAGGAGATATCACTGTTTTGAATTAGTTTGGGCTTCTTTGTTACTAGAGGTCTTCCTTCAGGCTTAAAGTCTTGTTACCTGTACCTTGGTATTGGCACAACATTGTATTTCCTTCATTCTGCACTCACTGTTAGCTCTTCTAGGGCTGACTTCAGCTGCTGCAGGGTGATACAGAACAGCAGCTCCTCTCTAGCTCTCATCTCCAAGGCCTCTGAGTCACATACTACCAGTACTAGCAGCATCACCATGAGCTTCCCTAACTTCAACGAGTCCAAGACAGGACAGAGTTGCTGACCTTTGGGTCCATGTGTCTACATTCAACCATTCTCAGGTTGTTGTGTTATAAGTTCTCCAGAATTAAACATAAGATTTGCTACTAATACTGTTTCCTTTTACTTTTATTTTTAACTGAGTCTTTATATTTGGATAAAATATTTGTTCTTCTAGGATTTATAGTATGCAAGTTCTTCTGGAGCCATATAAATATTAAGACCATAAACAATACACAAAAAGAGTGAAAATTCAAGAGCTGTGTAAAATCACTTGGTTCAGAAATTCTACAGCAAGTTATACCATCTGGAAAATGTATAATAATTGATATGATCTTTTATATGCTGGCACATTCAATGAAGATAAACATAAAGGATGCAGCACATATTAAAGAGATTAAAATACTGGGTATGGGTAAGGAACAAATATTTTTCAATTATTTCCTTTGTTATAATGTGAATCTATTACAACTCTATGGCTATATAAATACTTATTACCTGTACTTCAAATTCTTTTAGGTAATAGTACTACAAGAGAAAATTGCAGACTGGTGATGAAATCTCAAAATACCATTATAAAAAAAAAAAAGACCTGTTGAAAATATTAAAAAAACTACAAATTTTGTGTTAGATCTATTAACTAAAACTACATGGTTAATAATGAATCAGCATCTAATTTCGATGGTAGGGGACAGAGTTACTTTATTCATGGAAATCTAGCACTGAATATTACAAACAGTTGCCAAATTTCCCTACTGCTAATTTGGACCAATGAGCATAAATTTTTTTTTCAATGAGCATAAATTTTAAATTTTCTTTAGATGTGTTTTCTTTGGGGAAGAAATGCTACAGAATACAAAGGAAAGGCTGGAAGACAGGAGAGAGAAAAATGTAGAGCTATTTTAAAAGGGGTCATCTATAACTAAAATAAATACTAAAAATTTGCTCTGCAAGAGCAATACAAAAATAAAAATTCTACAAAGCTGAAGTTAGTCTATCCTTACTTGAGGTTTTTAACCATTCAGTGTTAAAAAGAAGCATCTTAAGCAAACTAAATTGCCCAAATTAAAACACTCAAAGTTGTTATTCTCAAATAAATTACCCCATAGCTTGAGCTGAAAATCCACAAAAAAGCTGACATAAATTTTCAAAAGAAATGAACAGCAAAGGTTATAATATATTTATTATTTAGACTAACCTTCCAAACTTTAATTAAAATTTCCCCCAAAAAGGAAGAGGGAATACATTTAAAGAAGATGTCAGTACTAAATAGCTAAAAGGAAAATAAAGCAACAATGAACAAATGCATTCAAATAGCTCCTGTAAATTATAGGTTATGTAAATTAACCTGTATAAATTATCAAATTAATTATCAAACTATCAAATTAAATATCAAATATATATACATTTTAAAATTATAAATACAAATAATCAAATTAAAATTCATAATTGTCAAAACAATATCACACATACTGATGTTAATTCTTATATTTAAAATGATCAGTTTTCTCTTTCAGGCAGCAATTACCCTCCAATATGGCCCTTACTCAGCTGAGCCAAAGGATGTGAGGAGACAGCATTAGGATATGCACAAAGCTGATAAAACAGAATCCCAACATTACAGAGGAAGATAAAGGACAGAAAAATGAGAGACAAAGTCCAGTATCTTTTTGTGTAGACCCAAAATTTCAAAGGAGAGAAATTATAAGTTACCAATCTAGTGATTTACTCATGATACTCAATTTAAGTGGTATCAGTAATCTTCATGGGTCCAATTAAAAGGTTAGATGCTTTTAAAGATCCCCTGTGGTAAAAATTATTATTTAATTTAGTAAATTAAATAGCAAATATCATTATCTTGTCATTGGGAGATAGAATTTTGCAAAACAAAAACCCTAGTCTCATTTTTGAACAGGATGCTATAAAAATGGTGTATTATTTACTTAAGGAAGAAGGGGGAAAGGAATGATGAATCTACCCTTTCAATCTATTTGCCTCACAAGCCAGGATGCAGCATGTAAGATGAAATTCCTGTCCACACGGAAGAATGAAAATTTTTTCTCTATTCCCCCTAATATTTATCTGGACACAATTTTGAAAATCAGGAAATGAAGTAATATGATACTGATATTACTGGTGAGGTAATTAAGGAACTTAACTTACCATTTTTTGGGCTTTGATAATGGTTTGTACTTGTTGTATTTTACACGCCATTCAAGAACTTCTTTACAACGCTGACATACTCCATCATGAAGTTTTGCATTAATTTTCTTAAAAAGAAACAGAAAAACACATTGAGAGTTTCACTAGTGAGTCAGCATTACAAACTCCAAAAGGCATATGAGAAATTTAAGGTTTTTTTTAAACAGCAACCTAAATTTAACCTGCATAACATTTTATGGTATACTATGTGTTTTTATGTACATCATCAATTTGGCTCTTTATGAAGGCAAGGATTCTTAACTGGCTGTAGCTCAGAATCATCTAGGGAACTTTTTAATTTCCTGGCAGGAGTATTTTAAGCACATCATCCCCACTGATTCTGATGCATATTCATTTTACAATTCAAACTATATAGTTAAGATATATGCACTTTACTGAATGTAAGTTACATCTCAAAAAAAGTAGAAGAAAATCCAATCATATTTTAAGCCTACTGTTTTGACAACTCAACTCTTACTACTGAAAAATGAGAAATTAAACTGAGAAATTAGATACTCCTGAGTTATAGTCTGCAGGGGAAGGCAGAGACTATGAAACTTGAGAAAGGAGAGCCAGGGAGAAGCAGCTGGAAGCAAGGAGATATTTAATTATTCAATTTAATCTTTTTGTATTCTCATGTAAAGATGTCTTAGAAAAAGTTACCTTGATAACCTGGTTTCTTCAAACCAGAAGATAAGTATGTGCATATGACTGGTAGAAAATAGGCTTTATGAGGAAAGAAATTTTTTCCCTTATAATATTCTTCTCAAAATGTGTTGGGAAATAAGAAGGAAGGAAAACTTTTAAATGTGTCATGTGTTCTCACAACAGCTTTTGTATTTTGTAATATGTTCATCTGACTCAAGACCTAGACTACATATTTTCACTAAGTACTCTGAGAATTCTCTAACTTGTTTTGGTTGTGGAAGCTTGGTCTTTGCCTATTGTTGGAATAATGAATAAAGGATAGTTTAAGTTCTCATTCTCTTTGCTTCTTTTCTTTTTTAAATTTTTCAAAAGGAGAAAAAGCATCTCAAAAGATGCAGAAGTTCTTTGGAAGGTTATTTGAATACTGAGTTAAAAGCACAATGTTTAGAAATCATCTGAAAGAAAACAAAACTTCTGAACAGCGCTTGATATTCTTTAATGCTCTAAACAAAAAGGTAAAATAATGACAAAACATTTATTCAAAGAGAAAATATTTCAAGGGTATTTTCAAAAAACCATAAATTGAGCTGTGAATACATTATGTTTGAATTTAATTCTGTGGTAAAAAACATATTCTATTACTTATGTCTTCCTGACCTAGATGGAGAGTCCCTGGGAAAATAAATCCTGCATGCCATTATATTCCCTCTTTTCTGTGGCTCATTGTTGCCAGAAAGAAGGAAATCTGCCTAATACCAAATTCCTCTTCTTATCAAGCTTGGCACCTAGTTATCACACACAGGGTTTGCTAAGAAATACCCAGAACTAAGGTTCACATTTCATCTTTTCCTCTCACTGTCCTCTGTTGCCTAGAATCTTACCAAAAGCACTGCTTATATTTTCCTAACTCCAACAATAATAAAAAACAAACGATGATCTATGATTATAGTATGAATGTGACGTAAACTTTCTAGCTAGCATATTCTTAGAATGCACACCATTTCATTACCTGCAATTTTATTATATACAACACATTTTACTTGTTAACTGGTGAGCATTATTTGGTTTCTCGCTTGCTTCGTATCCAATTTCTGACCAGTTCATCTTGATTTACAAAGCTGTGCATAGTTTAGAAACTGGTTTCTTTAGGGTGGATCGACAGATCGACAGTGTAACAAAACAGGTCTTTGTGGGAACTTGTCCTGTGAGTGACGTGTGAATCGGTATAAATGGAGACGTTGTACAGCCTTCACATGACCAGCAGGCACTACTACAAAGTTAAACTTGATTTTCATGTGTTAAGAAATCATTGAGAAAAGAAATGAATGAATAAATGAGAATGAATAATACTTTCATTTAAAAATACTACAGAAAGAAAACTGTGTACCTTGTTTTTGCTGTATTTTGGCAAACTAGAAAAAGTGAATTCCAGAGACCTAAGTGAGGAAAGCTTAATCCTAATTTTAAGGAATCACTGTGCCTGGAGCAAAGGGGGTGGCAATCTTACATTACTCACAACTGTGTGTACAACTAACCCTGCCCATTTTGGCAATTAATTTTAGCATGTCCCTTATGGTAGAAAATAATAGGTTACTAAGGTTAAGATTTAAGCATGTTCAAATATAAAATCAAAACTTAAGTTTTCTAAGTACAAAAGCCTTTAAAGATAATTTAGTTTAACAAGCTACTTCTCAGATCTTTAAAGGAAAAAAATCATCAGTGGAAGATTCCACTGGACTTAAGAATCCTAGCTAAAAGAAGAAAACCTTCTTTATCAATGAATACTTCTTTTAAAGTTAGAATAAACTTATCATAAACTTACGTATCAGAGGACACTCCTACGTCATATATAAAGTCCTAAAAACTGTCTTAGCCATTATTAATTCATACAACATATTTTATAGTGTTGTTTTAAACATTCTGCTGTCTGACGATGCATCAGTGGTAATATAAAACATTAATCACCAAAAAGAACTACGTGATGTGAAGACTTCAACTCCCAAGAAGGTAGCAAGAACAAATTGTAAATATAACATCTGTATCAATATGCTGATGAAAAATATTTTATAAAATATAAACTATCATTTAATAGAAGATACTATTGTGTATGAAGGGGAAGAATTCTAATATCATTCAAGAGCAACTAATATAATTTTCATTAGGAGTTTTTGTACATCGTAATCCTTTCAGAAATGCTATAGATAAAACAATGGCACATTTACTTCCCTTCATTAGTTGAAAGAAAAAGAAATTAAAAAATGAAATTCTCAAGAAAAATGCCAACTCTAACTGCAGCTGAATTTCCATTTCCATGGAATAGAATGACCTTGTTCTCTCCCCTGCCTCACACCAAAGTAAGGTATTTACTGCCAATATAGCTACCACCATGTTACTCCATATTTAACTATATTTAAAAGTATATATTTTTAAATTTTCTAGTAATATTCCTTTTATTCTAAATTTGGTTAGAGGATAAAGGATCTCTGAAATTAGGAACAAGATATTATATGACTAATAATAATAAGTGTGAAAATCAGTATTTGGGGCTGTGACTTCCAAATCATAAGCTGTATTTTCTTAAATCCTTTTAATATGGCTAGAATATTGTTGGACATAAAGTATCTTACAAAATAAATATAACCAAAAAGTAGATGAAGGAATCAGATTAAGGGAAAAACTAGAGTTGGGAGGGAAAATCACAAAGCAGCCTGTACAGCTGGGAAATGCACCTGCTAGAGATGGGCCACAAGTGAGATGTGAGTTTTCTAGTGGCCAAAAAAAATGTTCTGCTCACTTACCTGATTCGAGGTCTGTAACGTGCCAAAAATCCAGTTTCTCAGAAGCAGCACATCTTTTCTTATTATTAAAACCTGAAGTTTCATTTTCCCAGAAACGATGCCATACAATACAGTAAACAATGCTCTCCAAAAACACCCTTACACTACAAAGCATTTTGCAGAGTTGTTTTCTATCCCAGTTCTCAAGGAGACAGTGTTACATAGTGCAGTCTAGTAAAAAGTTATTTTCAGGTGAGAGTGAAGTCGCTCAGGCATGCCCAACTCTTTGCGACCCCATGGACTATACAGTCCATGGAATTCTCTAGGACAGAATACTGCCGTGGGTAGCCGTTCCCTTCTCCAGGAGATCTTCCCAACCCAGATTGAACCCAGGCCTCCCACATTGCAGGTGGGTTCTTTACAAGTATTTTTCAGGTATGCAATGTAAATACAGGTATCTGATATTCATAAGATCTATAGAAATGCACTGCAAATCATAAGGCCATCTTCAAAGAATACTTCCTCCCAAACAAGTTCTAAAAACACTTACCTCTATTACAAAAAAATTCAAACATGCAGAAAAAATTAAAACATACTAACGCATAATCACATACATTATCTAGAGACAACTGTTAGCACTTTCCATCTTACCTATTCACTTTTCACGTGTTCAGTTCCGTTCAGTCGCTCAGTCGTGTCCCACTACTTGCAACCCCATGAACCGCAGCACACCAGGCCTCCCTGTCCATCACCAACTCCTGGAGTCCACCCAAACCCATGTCCACTGAGTCGGTGATTACAAATATCAAGATTCTTCACTTCTCAATCATATATATCCTAGAAATAAGACTTTCTCCTACTTAACCACAATACAGAAAACCACACCTCAGAAAAATTAAAAATAACTAATACCATTGAATGTAGCCAGTCTACATTGAAATTTCCTCAATGATCCCTCTCCGCCCCACACCCCAACCAGTACTCAAGTTCAGTTTGTTCTCTCTCTTTTGGTCTAGCAGGATCTCCCTCTTTTATCCTCTACACTGATTTTTTTTCAATTATTTTTCAAAATTTTTTTATTGGAATATAGTTGACTTAGAATGTTGGGTAAATTTCAGGTATACAGCAAAGTGAATCAGTTATACACTGACGTTTTTGAAAATAACGTCAGGCACGTTATCTTTGGGAATACTCCATATTCTGTATTTGTCAGATTGTTTTATCTTGGTGTAATTTAACTCATTGCTTTATGTGTTTTTATTTTCATTATCTTAACAATGTTTTTCTAAGAGAAAACTTTTTCACTTTCAATGAAGGACAATTTTTTTTCTTTTTTTCTCTTATGGACAATGTTTTTAATGTCAAATCTAAGAAGTCTTTGAAGAAACATGATTTTCATCTATGTTTTCTTCTGGAAGTTCAGTCATTTTCGGCTTTACATTTAATCAATGATCTATTTTGAGTTCATTTTTGTTCATGGTACAAAATAGTGGTAGGAGATTCTTTATAAATTATCTACGAGTGTCCAATTTCTAGCATCACTGAATTGTATATTTTTTTAATTGTATTTTTATCTTTGTCAAAAGTTAAATGTGTGTCTGTTTTGGACTCAATATTCTATCATATTAATCTATGTTTACTTT